GAAAAATGGCCATTTTTGGACCAAAACCATGGGTTAACCCCTTTGGAAAAATGGCAATTTTTCGACTTTTGAAATATTTTGTTTAAATAGCCTAGACAGGCGTTTTCTCCTTGTAGAATGTCGTAAAAGACATTTTCCTGGCCTATATTGCCTAAAAGAAAAACTTGGAAAAATGGCCATTTTGGGACCAAAACCATGGGTTAACCCCTTTGGAAAAATGTCGATTTTTCAACGTTTTGAACTTCTTGTTTTTATAGCCTAGAAAGAAGTTTTTTTGTTCTAGAATACCGTAAAAGCCATTTTCCTGGCCTATATTGCCTAAACAAAAGAAAGTTGGAAAAATGGCCATTTTTGGACCAAAACCATGGGTTAACCCCTTTGGAAAAATGTCAATTTTTCGATTTTTTGAACTTCTTGTTTTTATAGCCTAGAAAGAAGTTTTTTTGTTTTAGAATATCGTAAAAGACATGTTCCTCGCCTATATTGCCTAAAATTAAAAACTTGGAAAAATGGCCATTTTTGGACCAAAACCATGGGTTAACCCCTTTGGAAAAATGTCTATTTTTTAACGTTTTGAACTTCTTGTTTTTATAGCCTAGAAAGAAGTTTTTTTGTTCTAGAATACCGTAAAAGACGTTTTCCTGGCCTATATTGCCTAAAAAAAAGAAAGTTGGAAAAATGGCCATTTTTGGACCAAAACCATCGGTTAACCCCTTTGGAAAAATGTCGATTTTTCAACGTTTTGAACTTCTTGTTTTTATAGCCTAGAAAGAAGTTTTTTTTTTTCTAGAATACCGTAAAAGACATTTTCCTGGCCTATATTGCCTAAAAAAAAGAAAGTTGGAAAAATGGCCATTTTTGGACCAAAACCATGGGTTTACTCCTTTGGAAAAATGTCAATTTTTCGACGTTTTGAACTTCTTGTTTTTATAGCCTAGAAAGGCGTTTTTGGTTCTAGAATATCGTAAAAGAGATTTTCCTGGCCTATATTGCCAAAAAAAAGTTGCAAAAATGGCCATTTTTGGACCAAAACCATGAATTAACCCCTTTGGAAAAATGTCAATTTTTCGACTTTTTGTACTTCTTGTTTTTATAGCCTAGAAAGGCGTTTTTTTATTCTAGAATATCGTAAAAGACATTTTCCTGGCCTATATTGCCTAAAAGAAGAAAGTTGGAAAAATGGCCATATTTGGACCAAAACCATGGGTTAACCCCTTTGGAAAAATGTCAATTTTTCGACTTTTTGAACTTCTTGTTTTTATAACCTTGAAAGGCGTTTTTTCGTTCTAGAATATCGTAAAAGACATTTTCCTGGCCTATATTGGCTAAAAGAATAAAGTTGGAAAAATGTCCATTTTTGGACCAAAACCATGGGTTAACCCCTTTAAAAAAATGTTAATTTTTCGACTTGTTGAAGTTCTTGTTTTTATAGCCTAGAAAGGCCTTTTTTGTTCTAGAATACTGTAAAAGACATTTTCCTGGCCTATGTTTTCTAAAAAAAAAAGTTGGAAAAATGGCCATTTTTGGACCGAAACCATGGGTTAACCCCTTTTTTCGACTTCTTGAACTTCTTGTTTTTATAACCTAGAAAGGCGTTTTTTCGTTCTAGAATATCGTTAAAGACATTTTCCTTTCCTATATTGCCTAAAAGAAAAAAGTTGGAAAAATGGCCACTTTTGGAGCAAAGCCCTTTGGAAAAATGTCAATTTTTCGACTTTTTGAAGTTCTTTTTTATGTAGCCTAGAAAGGCGTTTTTTCGTTCTAGAATATCGTAAAAGACATTTTCCTGGCCTATATTGCCTAAAAAAGAAGTTGGGAAAATGGCCATTTTTGCACCCAAACCATGGGTTAACCGCTTTGGAAAAATCGTATTTTTTCGACTTTTTGAACTTCTTGTTTTTATAGCCGAGAAAGGTGTTTTTTTTGTTCTAGAATATGGTAAAACACATTTTCCGAGCCTATTTTGCCTAAAAAAAAGATGGAAAAATGGCCATTTCTTGACCAAAACCATGGGTTAACCCCTTTGGAAGAATCTCATTTTTTCGTTGTTTTTAAGTTCGTTTTTATATCGTAGAAAGGCATTTCATAGAATATTTTTCTCAGAAGTAAAAAGATGGTAAAATTGCCAATTTTTGACGAAAACCAAAGAAAAGAAAAGAGACGAAAAGAAATAAGTCGCGGTTTTAATTCCATCTCCTTCGATTTGTTAAGCGTAGGCGGAGGATCGTCGCATTGAAGTTCAACAAATAGAACCTCACTTTCAACCAAAGGCGGTAAAACCCAGCTAAAACTTTGAAAGGTAATACTTACTGGGTCAGGAAACAAAACTGAATGCAAGGCTGACACTACGGCAAAGGGCTGTTTTATTATAGGGCAATATTTCGGCTAACAGAATTAGCCTTCCTCAGGGCCAGAGCTATGCCTAGAGTTGGGTTAGGGTTGTACGCCAGATGGTAGCTCCTTTTAAAATACAACTTTTTTAAAAATTATCTTTTCAGGTTTGGTCAATTTTGACAAAAATCATACAAAGAGAATTAAATCATGGGTTAGCCCCTTCAGGAAGAAAAAAAAAAATCAGTAATGGTAACAAACTAAAATCAGACCATGGGATCTGAAGAAAGGGTTCTTTTTGACCAGTTCACCACTCTAAAACATCGTTAAACATTGATTCTTAAAAAAACATTAGTCACCTTAGACAAAAACTTGAAAAAGAAAGAAAATAATTCCGATTTTGACCTAAGACAGGAGCCGAGACCCCCAAAATCATGGCAGATAAAACCCTAGGACAAATTCCAGTTTCCACTGCGGGTCACCAAAATTTCTTCTGAGCCAATTTCTCACATAAAATAAAACAAGAGAAAATTCCGGCTCAGTAAATCTAAACCGTTTAGGAAAAATACAGAACAGTCACCACTAAAAATCAAAATATCAGTTTAAAAAGGGTCTTTCTAGCCTTATCGTATCACCACTCTAAACTATCGTCAAACACAATTTAGACGAGAATAAAGAAAGAGATGAATTTTGAATTTTGATCCAAAAAAGGGAAAAAACAACGTTTTGGACGGAGGAGTATGGGAACAAGGGTAGGAGCAAGTAACGCCTGGTAACATTTCACTCAGCAAACCCGAAGAAAGCCTGCCTTTGTTTTGAAATGCAGTTCATTCGTGGTTTTAATCGTTATTTTGCACCTCCTTCTCTTCAGCTTAACTTCAAAGCAAGTTTTTACTGTCATAAAGGGTTGTTTACTTCAGATCGAAGGAAACTTTCCGTGGATGATCTACCAGGCCCACATTCGAATTTGAATGGGTTTTCATTGGCGAAGAAATTTATTTTGGATGGCCTTAAACTCCTTCCCTTTCAACAAAAAAAGACTGATTTAGATCTTGGAAAAATCCTGTTGAAAGCGCAGTTAAGGAATGTCGAAAACTTTGGACCAATTTTTAGGACGAAGTACACAGGTCTAAGAACTGTTGTAAATGTCAAGATTTCGAACCCTTCTGATGCGGCTACAGTATTTCGGGCCGAGGGACGTTCTACTATCAGACCGGAAAGCCCAGCTATGAATTACTATAGAAAACAGACTAAAAAACGTCCGGGTTTACTCTTCGGTAATGGTACAAATTGGTACAAATATCGACGCTGGGTGAACGATCGAATGCTGAAGCCAAAGTGTGTGGAAGAATACATACCACCATTTAATGAGATTGTCACTGACTTTATGGCGAGGATGGAGAAACTTAAAGGAATCCATGGCTTGGACAACGAGGTACCCCAGTTAGAAGAAGAGCTCTTTAAATGGTCCTTCGAGTCTGTTTCGCAGGTGTTATTTGATGAAAGGTTTGGTGCTTTGGAAGATGAAATTGACCATGAGGTACAGGAGTTCATCCAGTCGTCGTCCGACTTTTTAAACGCTAGTGCTTCCATCAATGTGCAACCTCCCTGGATGATGAATATTTTTCAAACCAAAATGTACAAGCAGTTTACACAAAGTTGTGACAAACTATACGAGTTTACTGGAAAATGTATAAGGAGAAAACTGGCAAAGTACGAAGAGCAAAATACAAGCGCAGGTGAACGAAATCAAAGCCAAAACACAGAATTTTTAGAAGTTTTGGCTTCCAAATCTGATATGACATACAAGGATATGGTAGCAACATATGTAGACATTTTCTTTGCTGGTGTTGACACAACATCAAATGCAGTTCTGTGGAGTTTGTATGAGCTGGCAAAAAATCAAGATAAGCAGTTCAAACTACATCAAGAAATTTCAACAGTTCTGAAGCCTGAAGAAATTGTGTCTGCTAACTCGTTGTCAAAGATGTCATACTTAAAATCATGCATCAAAGAAGTCCTTCGGTTGTACCCAATCTATTTCCTTCACCGGGAAACTGAACAAGACTTGGTATTAAGTGGTTATAAAATCCCTGCTGGTACTCAGGTGATGATTTTGTCCTATGCCATGGGAATTAGTGACAAATATTTTGAAGAACCTTTATCTTTTATCCCAGAAAGATGGTTGCGTGCCCAAAGAAGACCATCCAAGAGCAGTTCATCTGTTGAGGCATTTGCTTCTTTGCCATTTGGGTATGGCACACGCATGTGTGTAGGTCGGCGCTTGTCAGAGCTGGAACAGTACTTGCTGTTGACTAGAATAATTCAAAAGTATCAAATATTTCACATTGGTGAAGAACCCAAGCCAAAAGTGCATGGACTTCCAATTATACCTGATCGGCCTCTTAGAATACAATTTGTACAAAGAGAATAGTCAATGTTCATAACACAGTGAAACCTGTATGAGATGGGCACCCAACTCTTGCATAATCTCCTCTTACTAGAGTAAGAGAGTGGGTGTCTAATTTTTATTATAGGGCCTTACAGATTTGAAAAGGTTTAAGGTTTATTTTATAGTGGAAAGTGCACTTAGCTTATCCAGCTAGTTTCAAATAATTCTGAAACAAATGATGCAAATAGAACATAACAGGGTTAATAACCCCAACTGACAGGAGAAAGCCAGTTGGTTATTTACAAGCAGAGCTTACGATTTGAACCCAGGACGACCAAGAACAAATCCAGTAAGTGGCCAAAGTCGAACTCGAACCTGAGACCACCCAATTGCGAGTCCAAGATGGTGACCACTTGGCCACGCTGCCTCCCTGTAAACAACAGATTTGACTGTACACACTATACTTCTTCTGTTTTTATAGCATATCAGCTTCTAGTAAGTGAACCCTTCCTCAAGTCTGGGGCACCAATAATTACATAAGCCTCCATTCTCATAATGGCTCATAATTTTAATAATTATTACAGTATATATGGTCTCACTATGGCTGGGGCAGTTGCATTGTGAGGACCATGGCGGTTGCTGAAGCAGCTCACCTAACACCATTTTGCACTTTTTTGTGTTGGTTATGGCATAGCCTGAGAAAAAAGCCGACATATCATGACACTACCACTGGTTTCTCAGATGTCATATCATGGGGTAACCAGTGGTGGCATCACAAAATGTTGGCTGTTTTCTCAGGCAAGTTATGGCAGGGCTAACTAAAATAAAATCCCTGCTAAAGAAATAGTGAGTTAATGATCAGACTTAAAGTGCAAGCATGCAAAAAAATAATTTGGAAAACTGATAATGACCAGACAGACTATTTCTTTCTCTTAAACTTCACAAGAGGCAATGTGACATAACCATGGCTCATTCATGTGAGCATGGCCAGCTGCATCTATGAGTAGAAAACACTGGGAGGGGAACAATGCTATTATAATCCCTAGTTTCTATTTGTTATCAGCTATTGTTTCAGCCTTGTTCTCCATCTTTTTATCAAAATATGTTGCTGACTTACCTGCGACAGAGGCTGGTGTGGTTACCACCTGAAAATGTATGTTGTTCCTACATTGCCACTAGCAACAAGAGCAACTGGATGCCTGTATTTCTTGCATGCCTGCAATGGTTTAATCTAGGTAGGCTGCGGTGACTAGCTGAACAGTTTTTATCATCCAGGGTGCAGTTCCTCAAAAGATGGTTAAGTTGAGCCAAGGATTAAGCCAAATTGAAAGCATGTTCTTGTCCAAGAACATGCAAACTTGAGCTTACAAAATTCTGTTGTACCTTTACTCGGATATACAGTAATGATAACACAAAATGTAACTCTAAGCAATAGGTAAGAGGGTAAAATACAAAAACAGAACAAAATTTAATCCTGGATCACTGCTAATCGGCCTTTCACAGAACCAGGCCCAGGGTAATAATAAAATATTTTTGTGAGAATGTACTCACTCAGCGATGTTCCAGCATGAAACTATATCCTGCAAATCTCAATCTATTATACCTCACCACTTGCTTTGAATGAAATTTCACAAGGATAAAATGTCATCACTATAAAGCAGGCCACATGTACAAGAATCAAGGCACAAACATTGCAATTATTAATTTGTTTGCAGAGTTTATTAATGAATAAACAACAGATAATAACAAGGAATTAATGAAAAATATAAATTAAATTTCAAATTTTGTTTATGGTAGGAGTATTGACAGACCAATGTTAATGAATAATCCTTTGTGTATTTTCATATAAAATTAACATTTTCTTATAACTGTGCTTACTAGAAACATCTTAAATTTCTTTGTTAAATTTGTTTTACATTAAAATTATGTCAAAACTGCTTCCTCCTCTTCCAACACGTGACAAATCAAGTGTTGTATTCTAAGATAACAAAATCTCCTTCCAGTAGTTACTATAATAATATTTTTTACTGCTACATAATTTTTTTTTTTTTGTCCCTGCCTCTTTCAGCAAGAAGAAAAACTTTTCTTGAAGGCCTCACAAGGACACTAAAGATGCCTGCTTTCCCAGAATCAATTTCTGGACTTGGGATGATTTCTTAAGTTTATCTTGACTGTTTACATGTTGAATATGTCAATAAAATTGAAAGTAACTTGTATTCTCAGGTTTAACCAGGATTTCCTTCATCACCTATGAATATTTTTAGGGCCAGGAAACAAAGGAAATTCCATTCAAACTTTATACTGGCTCAACCGTGCAACAGCAGGGCTGTCAATAAGGGCCAGTAGCCGGCCAAAACCGCTGGCTGGTTAGCCATCCTTAGTGGGCTACTTTCATATCCTTCTACCATAACTGGTGACAAAAAATGGGCAGCACCGAATAAAATTACCAGTTTTCAATGACACTGAATGCATATTTAAACAGGTTTAGATCTGTGAAACATTCGAACCGTGCGATGTCATGGAATGACTGGGACATTTCAACGGCATTGTTTCTAGTCTTGTGTGTATTCCGACAAAACACATGGCATCTGTGGTGGAAAATTCCTCTTGAAACACCATTTCCGAGACTCTTTATTTCAAAATATCCCTAGATGCCTTGGCCCTCAAGAACTTGTGCCTTTGGTGCGAGTTCCAAAGTCGCCTACTCTCCACTATCAGCCTGCTACTTAAAAACCTTTTGACAGTCCTGCGACAGACTTATCTACAACTTATATACTACCAGCCAGTACACTTTTAATACTCTAGAATGCCAGATCACGTTTAAAATTCATTGTACCTGAAGCCAAATATTTTTAGTGAACATTCCTGGTAAATAATATATTATTATAAATCATTATCATTTTATTAAAAATAATGAAAACTCAATGGATGCAAATTGGCCGGGTGACACTAGTTTACATCAACCTCTTTTATAAAAAACTAATAAGACAACGAAAATCTTAAAGTATATATTATTATCAGGATTGAAAGGGTTAGGACATGTTATCCATCCTAGACATACTGGTCACTAGTTACTGTATGCTAATGATGTCCACAATAATCTGTCCACAATAATCGTTATCTGTAACTTTATACTTATTATAAGTATAATAAATTGTTTTGAAAAGGGGAATGAAAACACTTTTCTTTTTTATGCATTGTACAAATTATACCACTGCAAGGCCAAAGTACTCAACAACAAATACTTGAAACACTTTCAGCAAATCCTGAACCACTTTGGGGTCAATTTCGCCTTCATGGTCACAGACTTGATGCCAACAGTTAGGAAACGGTAGTGAAATCAGATGAAGAATTTTGACATCTAGAAAAGAAAAATTAAAATGCATTTATGAAACTATTTATAGACCACAAAAACCTTTTACATGAATGCAGCCAAGCCTGCTTGAGTGAAGTACACTAAGCAACACCAGATTGTCTTGTTTTTTTTGTTTTTTATTTCTACCATCTTTGACAACATGTTGTAACAAAATCAGGGCTGTCATTAAGATCTGGGGACCAGGGATTTCCCCCAGCTACTATACTCTTATAGGAAAATAGAACCAAAAGAAATCCCTAGCTGTTTGATTCCCTGCCTACTTGTTGTATTTACCCGGCAACTTGAAATCTCAGTAACAGCCCTGCAAAATGACAAAAAGTGCCAGTATTGAAACCAGAAAAGAAATTTTTGGAAAAACAAGGCAATCTGCAGCTTCTCCTTTGACTTTGGTACCTCTATATAGGGTATTTAGGATTGAAAGATAAAATATTTATGCATATACAGACCTCCTTACTTACAGACCAAACCAACCACTGTCACTCTGTTGGAGACAATTCTCAATTTTGACATTTTTTTTGCAATAGCTTTTACTTAATATAATAAATCATTGGTTCAAGGAATTTTAGAGTACCATAGGTCCTTGAAGAGGTTGAATAAATCCTGAGCCATGCCAAACATTGATTTCCTTTAGGGGTTTAAATCTGATTTTTCGAAGAACATCACACTCCCTTCACAACATTAGTAACAACATATTCTCCTTACATCACTTGTATATGATTTCTCAGCATATTGTTGATTTTTCACAATTATGTTATTTGCTACAATGCTTACTTCTCTCTAAAAAAGGTATATGATCATCCTCAACTAAATATCTGCGATCCATGAGACCATGCATAAAATAGGGTTGAGGCCGTCGTTCTATAAGCCTGTTGGTGCTTATTAAGCGCCGCTCTGTCAAAAGAAACAAACAACAGCATCAATAACAATAATAAAAAGTTTCTGAAGTATTAATTGACTGATCGGGAACATTTTTCCCAAAGAGAATGACCCAGTTTTGAAAAATAGCACATTAAATAAATTGCTCAAATCTCCTTTATTGAAATGACACTATATATACCTGCCAACTCACAGGTGCACCTTATGCACGAGTCTGAATGAAAATGTAATTACGGTGAGTTTTCATTAAGGCCCAATGGTTTTACGTTGTGCTTTAGTCATGTGAATGCTATATTTCAGTCATTTTTTCACAAGTTTCATTATAGGTTTAGACAGAATTTGTTTGCGTGCAAAAGTACGTAATTTAGTGATTTAGTCAACAGCCCCTTGCTGATACAGTCGGTTACTCTATTCAAACCTACTTGCTACTTCAATTTTTATTGAAACCCCTGATCTTTATTCCTTGTTCAGTTGTCTACGATTATTAAAATGGATGGCATCACAAAAGAGATGGTTCTCCGTGATTATAGACATTTACAGTGTGGCTGAATGACAGTGTCTTACCTATCTGCTCCAATCTCTGAAACAAATCATCTGTCTCTTTGAAAGTATTATAAAATGTGGGTTGTGGATCAGAAGTACCAATTAGATCTAACAGTACCAAGGCATTCTGTTTCAAAGGAAGCAAGGAAAGAAACTTAATTAAAAACTGATTTTGTTACACTGATACATATGAACATATAATGAAACAAAGAAAACAAAAAAATTAACTGAAATAAAAAATTCCCTACAACATATATACAAGCAGTGTTCAAATTTTCTGACCAACATACATAATTTTTGTAGTATTTAATTATTATAATTACTATATTTTATACTTACTATGGTATCGATCATTGTGGTATTTGATCCCTTTGGATGAGTTGTGTTGCTCCATACTTCAGCAAGATGTCTCGAGCCATAAAGTGAGTCATTTTTTGTCCACTCCTTAAATGCTTCCTCTCCATCAAAAAACACCATTTGCAAAGTGACATCTGATTGCTGTAAACAAAATAAATTTAGCGCCAAACTGGCAAACTGAAGTCCTTAATATTATTATGGCCATGACTGCTACACATTTATCTCTACATTTATCTATCTATTTATCTCTATTATTAATTATTAATCCATTAATTATTAATATGTTGACTTTTGAAAATGTGTCGATAACACAGTGTCTATAACATTGCATATACAAATTTGTACAAAAAAAACTTATAAAAAACTAACTCTAACAAACCTCATCATCATCATCATTGACCAGCCTATCTTGCCGCTGCCCCCGTGCTTTAAACAAAGGTGTCACCGTCTTGGCAATTTCAATCAACATTGCACATGGCATGGCTGAGTCTGTAGCGCCAAAAAAGTATCTACCATCGCTGTCCTCAGGAAAATATTTTGAATCATAATGAGCTGCTAGAATAAGCCTGCGTTTTGCATTGGGATTCAAAGTGGCGATGATGTTGGTAAATCGCTTTGGCCCATAGGGTGTCATGTCATCAAATTCATCTAAGGTAACTGTCCAGTCCAAATCTTCAAATTGCTTCTTTATAAACTGAGAAAAAAAAGATTTTAAAATTGTTTGCATCAACTTTTTACGCCATATATAAAGGAAAAGGTGTAGAGTGTTGCCATGGTTAGTCCATACCCTGGGGAATAGCTAGTCGTTGAACCAGTTTCTTTACATATAAGCTAAATGGTTTACTGTCACTTCATTCCATGGTCAGATTGTTCCATTTTTTGGTCAGATCATTCCACAGTTTCAGTGTAAAACGTGATGTAAAATGCACTTTTTTGGCTTCTTGGCTTAAATAATGAAGTATACACGAGCAATGCCATTGTTTCTACTTATGGCTTAAAGACTCATGACAAATTCAAACTATATTGTGGTACGATCTGGCCATGAAATAAAGTGACCAGATACCAGCTAAATCCAAGACCTAAAACCCCTACTTAAAAAAAACTGTAGCAACATCCATTGAAACATTAACTAAACAATTTTTATGCTGTTTTCTTTGATTATCTGATTTGTTTTCCTGCACTTTTAGCTTGAGGATTATCTTGACAACCCTGATAGAAGGTCTCTTTGGAATGAATACCAGTGATAATACCCAATGTTAACAGTTTAAGTTCCAATAGTGACCAACATCAGCTTTCTCCTAACAATATCCATACATTGTCAAGACATTAGTTCACGAGAATTAAAAAGATGATCACCAGAGAAAAATTTTCACAACTCATTCTTTAATGAAATGTTTAAGGATCAGTTTAGAGAATTTGTGTTAAAATTTATGAAGCTGGGCCAGATGTTTTGCAATTTATCATGATATCTGTGAATCACTGTCCAAAAATAAATGTAACACTGTTGAAAATTGACATGTATGTGGAAAGGCAAAATGTTAAATCAATAAAAACCCAGTGAGGTAAAACTAAAATTTATGGCCTAATTAATTTTGATTTCTCAACAAACTCAGTAAAGTTTATATCATGTGTTCCCAAAACAAACACTTAAGAATATGCCAGCCAACATTCAATTTAATAAATATCTCCACAGCGTCAAATAATTATGCTGGTCAATTTAATTTTCTTTAAAAAAAGGAAAACTAATTAAGGAAGGGGGTTCAGTGATTTACATTTATATTTGACAATTACATTGCTTCTTATTTAACAATAAATATATAACTTTTTCTCTTTTTTAAATGTCCCTTCATCCTCATATCAAAACCCAAACTTACAGATTTTACTTTAAAATAATGCATTTTTGGTACAGCTAATAATGAACAGAATTTTAAACAAATTTGCATTCATAATTTTATTTGAGGTTCAGAAAAAAGGGTGCATAAACACCAGCCTCAAAGTAAACCAGGCTAGAAAACTAGACGAGTCTAACTTTTTAAAAAAATGAAAAAACAATTTTGAAATAAGCATCCTGTTTTGGAAAGTTCTTTATCAATAAATAAATTCTGAAATACAAATTATTTACATATCAGGAAAATCAGGACATTTAAGTGATTGGTGTGTGTGTATGTTGTTTTTTCTTTTGCAGTACACCAAAAATAACTTTAGATTTTCTAAAACGAAAAAAAAAGCACAACTCAAGCAAGTTAGATAGGTCAGTAATTTACTTCACATTCTGTAAAAGCATTAATATGTTAATTAATGTAGTCCCTCCTAACAATTTTTAATAATACTGGGGTTTTGTTCAGAGATTTTTACAGAAATAATGTTCACATAAAATGTAGATCCAACTTACAAAATATCAACACCAAAAATTTAGAAACAACTCGCTTTCTGCTTTTGTTCAAGGTAATATGGTAATGTATGCAATTAAGTGGAGAAGTGCCAGAGGGCGTATTTTTTCTTTTTTTCCAAAACAGCTGGTTTAATAATTAGCGTGCTCTGTCCACATGCGGTTTCAGCAAAATAGTCACGTTCAATTTTATTCCTTGAATATTTAGGAGGTATATTATGTGAAAAGCTACAGGACCAATATTTATTTTGTCAAAGTACAGAATCTCAAGAATCGAGCGATACACGCGTACCATGTCGATAACAGACAAAACACAAAAGATGGTAGTTAGGGATATACCACAACTATTCGCAAACATACTTTCGAACACAGCTCCCTTGTTACCTTGTTATGTCAAGATACGATAAGGTCATATCGCTCATCTTTGCAAGAAAAATAGAGCCGTGAGAAATATACCATAAGTGCTTTAAGTAAGTTATGTCCAAAATGAATCGTCCATTCTAGAAGTTGTCTGTTTCGATCATATCGCACCTCGACCTTAACTTTATCTCAATACTCGTGTTCTCATCTTCGTTTCAACACAAATCCTTCCCTCTTCGACAACGCAATGAAGCCTCATAAACCGCTTTCGTGTTAAGAGAAGTATTTTAAATGGGGCAATTATTTATATAGGCCAGAAATCAAGGAATATATGGTTCAATTTGTCAACAGGAACTAGAAGTTCCTTTCAGAGAAGTGTTCGTTTGAGTGTCTGTATCTGTTTAACAAGGGTGTTTAAGCGCCACAAACTTCAAAATAGCAATGGTAAAAAGTCACTAACTTGTTGACTTAAGAAAGTCAAAGAGATGAAACAAGTTTCACCATTATTTTTCTTACCAATTTAACGGCGTGATGTCCCTTAGTTCCTGGGACACGAACTCGCAATACTGGAAGAAAAATACCATCGTAAAAAGCTCTGTAGTCTGTCCTCTGTGCCAAGTCATTTATCTTCGATTCGGGAAGGGATCTTGGAAGAGGATGCTCTAACGGCTTCTACAGGGAATGAAGAAGAACACATACAAAACAAACACTAAAGCGATAAAGATAGATAAAGGTCAAAAACCACCAGAAAGAAACCACATGAGTAGAAGAAGCGTCGAACGGATTTACATACCTTGGTACTCGCGCCTACAGGCGAAAAGATCAACGAACAAAGACAAACTAACACTCCTGAAAATATCATTTTACCCTCGGCGATCGACGTCGAAGGCTTGACGATATTAAATCAGAAAATCAGCTGCCTACCCATTTTATGTGTTCAAAACTCGCTAATTGATTGAAGTTATTATGTTCTTATCTAATTTGCGCACCGGTGAACTAAAAAAAGTATAACCGCTGACCGTTTCAATTGGTCAATTTCAATTGGAGAAATAGAGCGCGCGGGCGCATTTTTTAAGACTCCAGAAGAATCAGGTTATTTTATTTGGGTCTATTAGGGGGCAGGTTGTCAGAAATTTTGAAAGGAAGACACAGCTGAAAGAGAAAGATTGGTTACACTCCTTGTGTAAAATATGTTATTATAGTTATCGGTGATTTTTGAGGGAGATTGTTATTGAGAGTTTTGGAAAGTAGACAAAATGTTTAGTATATTTCANTAGAGCGCGCGGGCGCATTTTTTAAGACTCCAGAAGAATCAGGTTATTTTATTTGGGTCTATTAGGGGGCAGGTTGTCAGAAATTTTGAAAGGAAGACACAGCTGAAAGAGAAAGATTGGTTACACTCCTTATGTAAAATATGTTATTATAGTTATCGGTGATTTTTGAGGGAGATTGTTATTGAGAGTTTTGGAAAGTAGACAAAATGTTTAGTATATTTCATCTAAGCATTAAACTTCAAACCACTATTCCAAACATCCAAATAGTTTACATTCGTGCTGAAGGATCGAGGAAGTGAACTTATTATGCTTACACCTAACAAATATATCAATTGACAGCAATGACTAAATTGTCTAATTTCAAAAGCCTTGACGCCTCAATCGTCTATGCAGAGGCGACAAAGATTTCATTCGCTGAACAAGGAAAAAAGTCAAGTCTTTTGGCTATTTAAAGACGCAATTTACAAAGCTAGCATTTCGAAAAGAAAATTCTTAATTACTTGGCGCGCATGTGATGTTTAATCCACTTAAAGATGAAGGAAATTGGAAAAGGTGTTAAAATCTCTCAGCTGCTGTTTTATTTTTTTCAGCTATCTGACACTCGCGCCGCCAAAAAGTACAGATGATTATTCCCAGATGAAACGATTTCTGTGACGTCCAGTTCAGAGGGTTAAATAAAAAAAAAAGAAGAAAAACAAATTACCATATTTGCTGTATTAATCTGTTTTACTTTCTTTCCGCAACATGCTCTTTTAAACGCCCGATATTAAGCATGCATTTTCTTCTCCATTCACCGAAACGTATTTCCAGGGTTCATCAAGAAAACTAATAAAACTTGTATACCGTTTTTTCGCAAAAGAGTGTTAAGATATTAAAGCAATGTAACCTCATTGAAATAAATTGTATTGTCATCAACAGAAGTTTACACGCACTGCCAAAACGTGCTAATAATCAAAACATTCAGGCACATCGACTCCTTGTCTTCCTCTGAATGCCACGACACAGGCTGGGACTGAATGATTTTCAGGTGTCTTTAAAAACTCTCAACGTACAGTATTTATCAAGTGACAAGTCACATGTTTAAAACTGAAAAATAAGGAAATTGGCAGGGTGTCATGACACGCTGTTGTCTGGCGAAATCATTCAAAGGAGGTTTCTTGATATTTTAGAGCGGCGGAAAAATTTTCCTTATCAGTCTTGCCGTCAGTAGCCTGCGAAAACAGCCTTTTCTCCTCACTTCTTACTTCTCGCTCCTCGGCGGCGCTTAGGAAAGCGGCGAGAAACGAGGAGAGATGGTTGTTTTTGCAGGTTATGCCGTCAGCTACACAGGAAGAGATCCATGACTTCGTGTCTTAACTTTTTAAAAAAGTAAGTTCTTTTGTTGCCTCCTTGAAGTAAGC